AGCACTAGACTATTCGCATCCTGTCCACAAACTTAACAGTGTGACCTCAAGTTATCACAGAGCTCCTGACAAGCTGCTGCGCCGAGTGTTGCTTAGAGTCTTTGTGGGTGAAACCAGTTTTATCGAAATAAAACACATATGGCAATACGCATGTACTTAGTTGTCAGGCTTGTCAATTATTTGTTAAATTTATCCCAAGTAAAAAGATATTTTTATCCCAAAAGGCCAAAAAACATCTGAATATGGCGTGTTGTGCTGCATGTGTTATTGCTGTGAGAAATATACAAAGCAAGTCACATACCTGTAATAACAATATACGTGAACTTCACATTCCCCAAGCAGTTTGCAGTGGCAAGTAATTTTTAAAATTTTCAACACATCTTAAGACAGCCTTAATTAATCTTCTCATATCGAGAATTCTCTGGCAAAAATATTTAGCATATGGCATTTTCTTTTTTTACTTCAGGACAACATTGAAACGTTGATGTGAGGTTTTACATTTGTTTTTATTATTGTTTTGCAACAAAGCACTTAGAGTATGTAAGCATTTGACTCAACTTGAGCCATAAATTGATGCTTCCAAAGCTTCTAAAAATATACATTTTATTGATATTACCAATTATAATTTATCCACGTTGTCACTCGTTATCTTGGCAAGAATTTTGCCAATGTATTGGCGCTCACTGCATTTTCTGTCTGGCATGTGCTGAATATTAAAATGTACTTTTTTTGTAGTTTGCTTAATCAACTTTATTCCTATCTCAGCAGAGTTATTTGTGCTGTCTGACCTTGTGTTTTTATCATTATTGCCTAAATAATGCAATAATAAACAAGTAAGTTTTTATGAACAGGCTTATGCTTAGTTAACTGATGTAAGCTAAGAGTAAAAAAGATGTGCAATAAACTGATCCTTCTTGCTAATGGACGGCAAGATTAAGAGCAACTATCACCAAATACACTTATGTTTTTACTAGCATTGCATGTCACGAATTGGCATCACTTGTAGCCAGGTGCGTTTTCTTTTTTCCATTTACATACCTTGACGCATGTGCAAGGGTGTGTTTAATAAGAGATGGGATACAGCACAAAAAACAAAAAGCACTCATGATGTTTACAGATGCCCAATGACATTCACACAAAAAGATGGTGGGTCATTGATAGCAACAACACTACTAGGGGTGTGCAAATATTTAAATAATGGACCAAATAGCATTCACTAGTCAAATTTAATTGTACATACACGAAATACCCAATATTTAAAGAATAATTAGCCCCGATGAGGCAACCCTAAAGCAGCAAAACATGGGATCAGCTGAAGGTTTATTTTCATTTCGTAATCCCTGAACTACCACAATAAATGCAGCCCAAGTATTGGCAACACTATTGATTCTATAACCATTACCAGATAAAGCATTTTTGCTGCAAACTGCACTTTCACTCTGTTTTTACTGTGGTGGAACTGCATCGCATTAATCCTTTCCCGTTTTCATCATTGAAGTTAGGGACTATGACTGCATGTAGCTTCACGAATACAAACACATGCCAGTAAGTCTTTTGTTCACATAAATTGTTCTTACAGATACAGCTTTCAACACTTCATTTTTAAATGCTCTCTGCGCCAGGGTATATGTTGTGATAAGTTTGCCTGTTCCAATAAATCTTTAGCTGAATGCATGGTGTTCGGTTCAAAATTGTTTAGATTTTATGCTGAAATTTTACTTAAAAGCTGGCAACAGGGTTTCAACTTGAATAATGGCGTTGCTGAGGTATTTTGACATACAGTTGAAAAGAATTTCGAAGGCTCTGGTCACTGCTGTATACAAGCTTATCACAGTTTTCACAATTGCAGTATTAATTGGTGACAGCTCGTGAATATTTATTTCAAATAAACTGTTGCGGAGTTCTAGAATTATTTTGAAAAAGGTTTCTTGAAAACTATCAGAAGAGTATAAGGTTAATTTAAGCGTTACATTTGGTTATACCGCGATTGAATTCACTTTTGAAATTTACCACTCGCAAACCACTTGCTTGCGCGCGTCTGTAGTACGACAGTGTTCATGCTGTCAACGCTTCATTGCTCTACATGCATGCATCGCGGTGAAGTGAGCAAAAAAAATATGCTTGCTTAAGGCGGGTTCTTTACATGCACAACATACAGTAGATTTCGAAGTGTATTTGGCCTAGAGGGAATACGCTGTCACCCGCGTCCTTCTCTTCTAATAATAGCGTGGCCTCTCGCTACTCATGTGAACGGAATTGCTTGGCGTGTTGATAGAGTGGCACTACGAAGACATTCATTTGCAGGTCTATCAAGAAGCTGCTACAGATATTCGTGCTTCTCATTTGGCATCACTATCATAATTAGTAGCGGTGGCATTCACTACGAGTAGCCTAAGATATGCCAGAGTGAGTGCAAGCTGAGCAATTGAGTGACGTGAACGACGTAGGCACTCAAGAGCCGGTTTCGGAGCACGAAACCGACTCTTTGAGCGGCAACAAATGTTTATCGAGTTACGATTATTGTTATAGAGTCCGTGCATGAACTCTTCAAATTCTCATCATTCATTTTTCACTGCGTATCTCACCGACTTCGATGCTTTCAGCGATCATTGCAAACGGAGCGACGAGTCTTGCGGCAGCGTCGACACAGGCGTGCGCACAGCGTTTCTGCAGCACCTTGGTAGCACCAACTACTTGATAGCGCCATCTTCCCATTCATTGTAGGTGATTTGCCAGTACCCGTGCGAGCGTAGACTTTGTTCTCGCTTTTGCCGTGGCGTCTGCATCAGCTGTGCTGGCCCCCGAAACACGAGTCCTGCCGCATCGTCATGGGCGGAGCCATGTTTGCTGACGAAATTACGCACGAACCAATGAGCGCGCAGCTTCCGAGAAGCTTGTAAGAGCGCCTGGCGCAGTGCATTGTGGGGGGTTCTATCCGCTCACCTTTGTAAACTCGCGTCCGGGGCGAAGTAAGCGCGACGCGGTCGGTGGCGTGCATCTAAATGTACTTCGCTCTGCACGGTTTGAGCCGATTGTTCTTAAATAAAGCGCTTTGAGTATAGCCCAATAAAGGTATACACGCCCTTCATTGCCAAATTGATGTACGAAGCCAGCCTAACGTTCTTATTACGTGAGTGAGAAGTGCTGTTAATCAATGGGGCACTGGCCTTCGGTGACAGTAGTGTTTCTCACTGTGCGCGATCGTTTTTGTTGTATTTGTGCGTGTTTAGGTTGTATGTAAATTGTGTTGCGCAACTGAAACAATCAAGTATTCACTTTTTGCTGTATCAATATATCAAGAGAGAAAAATATCAAGAGAGAACTTCATTGAGAGTATGATCCTAATGCGCTAGGCAGGTGTTCTGTGGCTAGGTGTACATTGAAAAAGCCGAAGAAAATGATTGGCTTTTTCTATTTGATGAACACTCAAACATAAAGTGCTTTTAAACGCCTACGTGTGCCGGAGACTGGTGATTGTTTTTAAAAACGATTTCATTGTGATGTGTTCTTTTAGAAAATGTGTTGTTTATCGGAAATAAAAAAGAAAACAAAAAAATATTTGCACAAAAAAAGAAATAAAACATTTTGGGGGGTTTGAACCAATGACCTCACCGTCCTGCACAGGCTGCGTTAGCTCAGTACGCCGCTGCTGCTTTTTTTTTTTTATACTACGGCACTACTGCTGCACGGTTTGGTGGGTTTAACAAGCCAATTTTATATTGTTGTTACGCTGGACGTAACTCTAACATGTCTTATTTTTACGTCTGGATGTAACTTTAACGGCTTCTATCATTACGTCTAGACGTAGCTTTTGCGAAAGGTGAAAGTTACGTCCAGCCGTAACAATGATTAGCTGCTAAGGTAACGTCTGTCATGTGGTTCACAATATGCCCTTGAGTTTGATAATCACTTGGCAGCCTCGGAGGTTTCCTCGTGTGTCACTGGGATTATCTCGCTCTGCGGTGCGCTTGCTACAGCAGAACTGTACGGCGCTGTAGCAACGCGGTTTTGCGCGTCCGCGAAGGCTATTTACCTTAGGAAAAAACATATATATATACATATATAAGTGACGCCCTTGGAACATTATTGCTCCACTGTTTAAAAAAATACTCGCGCAATCAAAAAACGAATATATTGAAGGATTTGAACCAACGATCTCTCCGCTTACTTGAGCTGTGTTAGCCAACCACGCCACTGATCGGTATGCTGGACGTAACTCTAACATGTCTTATTTTTACGTCTGGATGTAACTTGAAAGGCTTCTATCGTTATGTCTAGACGTAGCTTTTGCGAAAGGTGAAAGTTACGTCCAGCCGTAACAATGATTAGCTGCTAAGGTTTCGTCCATCGTTTGGTTCACAATATGCCGCCCCGCCGCGGTGGTCTAGTGGCTCACGCACATATCAATCAATATGCCCTTGAGTTTGATAATCACTTGGCAGTCTCAGAGGTTTCCTCGTGTGTCACTGGGATAATCTCGCTGTGCGGTGCGCTTGCTACAGCAGAACTGTACGGCGCTGTAGCAACGCGGTTTTGCGCGTCCGCGAAGGCTATCTTCTTTAAGAAAAAAAAATATATATATATATATGTATATGTATATATATATATATATATATATATATATATATATATATATATATATATATATATATATATATATATATATATATATATATATAAGCGGCACCCGTGGAACATTAATGCTTTACTGTTTTAAGAATATACTTGCGCAAAAAATAATAAAAAAAATATCGAGAAGTTTGAACCATCGATCTTTCCGGCTTGCACAGGCTCCGTTAGCCCACTCCACCACTGCTGCCGATCGGTTTGGGTGGGGTTAACCAGCCGGTTTTGTATTGTTGTCACGCTGGACGTAACTCTAACATGTTTTATTTTTACGTCTGGACGTAACTTTACGTACGTCTGGACGTAACGCTAGACACTCTGTTACCAAAATTAAAATGAAACCTGCCATCAGAAGTAAAAATCACGCGATTCACCTTGATTGAGACTTGATCCAGCAGTTCTTTGCCAGCAAAGATGATGCGAATCTCTTGGGCAGGCAACGAAAGTCTTTCGGCGAGTTGTTCTTTGACATCCTTCGTGGTTGCACCCCGCTCAAGCTTCAGCGGTATGACTAGGTCAGCCGAGAAACGCACATTAATCGTGATCTCGTTCATCAGGCTCTCTTGTTGCCTCAGACGAAAAGGCAAGAAAGCTAGCCGACGCCACACGAACAACACCAAGGCATCGAGCAACGACCGCAGCGCGCCAGCCATGCGCTTCTTCACATCGATGCGTTGGTCACATCTACTACACATAAACAAAGCCGTAAGATGGGCCTGGATTCGACTAGTTGAATTTTCCTGTGAATCCGGATACATAGATGCTATGGGTACAGTGTCTAGAAATATAGCCGTACTGCCTCATTCCCATGCGGGCACAAGTGCCGCTAAAGGCATAGAGTTTCCCGATGCTGAAGGAGCCCGCTTAGACACTAGCGCCAGATTCTACTCTAGGTATTTTTCTATGAAACTCCATGGCCAAAGCAGGTGTTCTGTGGCCAAAGGTGATCTGGACGGGCCGTGGGGTGGAGTGTCAACACTTGATGTTTTTTACGCTATGCAGTCCGAGTTGTGCACGCGAGGATGGCGAGTGATTTGCCGAAAGGTTGGGAGAAACGGATCAGCCGATCTACAGGTGGGCATGAATCAAATATCATCTTTCTCGATGCTCAATTTCGTAAACGTATGGCTGAAAGTAATGCACAAAGTCGTTGTCATTGCAAGATCAACTTCAGGCTTCGTTGGTTCGGCTTCTACGAACGGCTTTTCGGACTCGACGCCGCGCGCATGACGTTGTTGATAGACGCAAAAATAAGCTGCCGTGTGCGCATGAACTTTTCATCCTAGTGGCTTTGTCTACCCTAGTGGACGTACTAGGTCTTATATTGGCTCCAGCATGTTTTTGAAATGGAACTCGGATGTTTTGAGGCCTGTTCCCGAGGGAGGGACCAAGACATCGGGTCCGTTTCGAAAACTGTGGCTAAAACCATTTGCACATCTTAAATTATTACACCCAGCGAGACGGATCTGTGGAAGTATCTACTTTTAAACTTGCTAATGCTATCGCTCGCCGATGTGTCCTGAATAAGTGGCTATAAACGCCACACACTTTTCGGTTACTAGACGATAAGTAGCTTGGGAACGTATTTCACCAAGGGAATTTGACTCCATGCGAGATATTTCGCTCAAACACGCTCAAACATGATGTATGGAAAACAATGTAATTCGCAAGGCATCTGTAGCGTTAAGCATATTAAAGGTAATAAACCACTTGACGTCCTTTTTTTTTTTTTTTTTTTTGACGTGCTGTGTGGCATTCAAGGCCACGCCTTCAGCAATGGTAATGAAACATGTTGTGTAAACTGCAGTGGAGAACATGCCACCTATTTGCGTTCCTGTCCAAGTAGAAAGGACAAAAAGAATCATAACTGAGAAGGTTAATGAAAACATTGTGTGTAAGTACACCGAAAATGCTCAGAATTGCACGGCTAAACTTATGTGAGGTGGCTGCTCCTGCGGTAGCAACAGTGAAGTCTGTGCCAACCCCTACGCTACAGAGGCTAGTGACCCCAGTAACGTTGGGCCTTAAGACCAGGTGAGGTCTCAGTCACTAACAGGCGGTCTGCCCACATGGGTATCCTGCGTCTTCCAGGATGCAATGGACATGTGCAGAAAGGTCTGGCACGAAAAAAAGCCTATAGCGGGGCCAGTGGATGGTTCTTTTTCCTGTAGAATCTACCTAAACACTCCACACTCTTTTTGCACATGCAGCAAGGCTTTATTTTAGTATTGGCACAAAAATTATGTTATACATACCTACCAAATCTCCCGGATTGTCCGGGAAACTCCAGTGTTTTGATCGTTTCTTTCTTTGTACGGTTGTCATGAAAATCTCCCCGAAATAGAAATTTCCGTCTAGCCGCATTGAGAAAAATGCAAATCAGTCTGCTCCAGGCTTTTTGCGAGCCCACTACATGTTATTATTAAGGAATTTAGGAGGCATTCATTTAAACGTACAGTAGAATCTCAGTGATGCGAAACCACAACAGATACGAATTCGCGAAATTCCTCATTCAAATTCCACTGCGTCGATTGGACCGAAATTCAAATATTCCGAGCACTTTCCCTAATCGCAGCATGTGCTATGAATTTTAATATTGAAACCATTCAGTGAAGGCTGATCGAGATGCAGCCTGCTCGAAGCTTCAAAAGTATGCGTGCGACCAGTGCATGCACTGTCTTCGAGAGTGCATGTTGTTGTTGCCACAACTGCTGTGGATGAAACCGCAGTCGTTCTTGACACAATCATGTATGGCGACGACGTTGCTGACAGAACTCCGAAAGTGTGCGCGCGTCCAACGCTCGAGTACCCAGTCAAAGGAACCCTACTTTGCGCATACTTGTGGACAATACCGCAGCAGACGCGATCATAGATATCATAAAACGATTTTGTTTTGAAGGCACATGTGCAGCCAACCCCCACGTATTGAAAACGGAGCTACAGTTTGCTGCAACTGCCGCGCACAAAACCGCAGTCATGGTGATGTGATAGTGATCTATGAGCTCCAAGGGCACGTGGCTAACGCAGTGGTTGATGATAATCAGTAAAGACGTAAGAAAAGAAAAATTGGCCCCATATATGTATGTTTCACTGCAAATGTTGTTGTTTGGAGAGAGTGAACAAAACATTAATAAATGTTCTGCTCATGAAAATCGGTGAATGGTATTCTGGAGGCGCCGCGTTAGAGTGCCTCGATTTGTGCAGCGAAGGCATATGAGCGCATCGAAGCACGTCACACATGAGACATGAGCGCTATCTGGCAGTTATCTTGGAAAACGAAGCGCGCGGCATGTGCGCCTATCTTGGAGGCGATAAGGTGTAGAACGCAAAAAGACAGGTAGATGCGACCACCGTGTGATCCTAGCAAAGTATTGGAAACACTTGCCTTTTCATGCAAGCGTCGCATTGTCAGTGCAGCATGATAAACACTACAGTACTTAGAATTACTTATGTGTGCCTTTTCTATTATAAAGAGGTACATACAGAATATTGACGTGTTGTTATTGTGCCTCAGATATGCGCAATAATTGCTTTTTAATTCACAATCGCACGAGTATGCACCCTGAAACTTGAGCAATATTGGTGGGCCCTGCGGATGCGGTTGGATTTTGGCTGGTCGGGTATCATTTCGGTGGAGAAACAGAGAAGTCCACCAACAGAAAGACAGACAGACAGACCGAAATTTTTGTGTGTAAGCTCCCAAGAAAGATTATCGTCTTGAAAAAAGGCTAGAGGCGTTTCGGCGTTCCTGTTCAAAGAATCTAGCAGCGAGCAAAGCCAAAGCTTTGACCCGCGTTGTCGTGGCAGCCAGCTGTGCAGGTACCGTCCGTTCATGTGTGTCCCAGAAAGACATGCGCGAGTTGTTTTGATGGAAATAAATCTTGGTAGTTGTTTTGATGACACAAAATTTCGGGAGTATTTGCGCTCTCTCTTTGAGAGACTCACTAGTCGGAAACCTACCTTGTGTGTTTGACCACTGCAAGCCATCATAAGACCGCAACGCCGATGTTGGTGCTTGCTATTGAGACCCTACCCCTCTCTTTCTTTTTGCGTGGGATGTTTTTTTTTTTTTGTTTGTTTGGGTGCCACTAAATGACGAAAATAGTTCAGTGCTTTGAGCCCCCCCCCCCCTCCCCATTACAGAAATCTCCCGGATTCTAAATCCATGAACTTGGCAGGTATGGCAATAGAGCATCGGAGGTTTCTTACGTAACCTTGCTGATGTTTAAGAAGTTCTGCACGAACCTTCCCCAAAGGCGCACCAAATATACACAGCACTACAAATATATAAAGTTCCTTTAAAAACATTTTACTACAGTACAGACTGCAATGGTCTATATTTATCATATGGCAATGTGGGCAGTATACTTGATAAAAGCATATCGTGTCATCCTTTATATCTCTAAACTCCTCTCTAGACAGTGTATGTGAAAGCCTCACTTCTAAACAAACTTGTAACTGTTTGCTAATGTTATATAATCCCCCATAATCTTCAAGAACACCCTAACTGATGCACCTGCCTTTGCAGGTGTCTGTTGAGTAGCCATAACCATGGACCATAGCTAACGAGGAGGTGGGGGTGCGACCGCCTCACACGCCTTGCCATGTGTAGTCCAGCTGTGTCCGGGGAAAATAAAACAGGAAAATTTAGCAGTCACCTTTTCCTATTGGGCTCTCTTCACGTTTTCATCTTTTTCTCTAACATTTAATCTATCATGTACTCCGCTCTCTTCCATCTACTTCCCTTTATACCTGGTGGCCAGGGTTAAGCTAGTGTAGTTGTCGAACCTCGAGTACTTATATTAGGTTATACTGTTGATGCGTCTCCTGTTCTTTTCAACCTTGCAGTGTTTCCATGTCGGGCTCTGTGGTTGGTGGCTACCATTGCCGTCAAATGATTTAAGGGCACTGGTTCGGCTCTATACGTTCCATGCATTTTTGGTGGTTTTGAGGTATCATTTTCTCAGATATTCACATAGTCCATACATTATTTTCTTCCAACTTTTCTGCTCTTTTAACTGAAGCAGGTATATAAATCTGTTCATTTGAATTTTGTGAATTTTTAACCCAAGACATAACATTTGGGTTAATTGACATCTGTGCAAATCTCCAACACAACTATAAGTGCATAACTTCAATTATGCTTCTGTAGCTGTATATTTATAGAGTATACAATAATAAATAATCGATTGGTTATCTTGGAATGCATAGGAAATGATTGTATCTAAGTAATAAAAAAAGTTTTGAGATAATCAAATTTAAAATTATAAAATGGTTGAAAAGCAATCACACTTTTTCACAAAGACTGTTCAACTATTTTATTTAGTAGCTACAAGCTTGGTAATCATTACCAGAAAGTCGGGGGTCTCTCGTAGCGCTTGCCTTGCTTCTTTTGTGACATCTCATGCAGCTCTACCCACAATGTGTCTTCAAATGTGGCCAATGTTTTCCAGCAAATTGACTGTAGTTTGGGCAGGCTTCAATGCTAACTACTTCATAATTTCGGCTGGTGTGATACTACCATTATTAAATGCAAGAACAATATACAATCTCGCAATTCTTAAGACTGTGAACCTAAACAAACATAGCAAAGACTTAGCAACTCAATTCCCATTAACTCAATACTTACAGCCGTGGCCACATCTGTGTAGAGTGCGCAAGCAGCTGGTTCTTGCTCTGTAGGGTGACACGTCGAGGCAGTTTCGGGCTCTGACATTGTTTGTCAGGAGCACACATGGCCTAGTAGTCGGGCCCTATCAGAGCCCAAAACTGACTCCTTGAGGCAGTCGGGAGCATGCATGGCCTAGTAGTGCTGGCCTCGTCAGAGCCCAAAACTGTGTCAAAGTGTCACCCTGCAGAGCAAAAATGGGCTGCTCGCGCGTTCTACACGGACGTGGACATGGCTGTACACTGGGCTGTTCTCACGGGCTATTCCATCTGGTTGCATCACAAATAGCAGTCACGTATATCAGAGCATATTCATTGACACCATGCACATGATTCGCTTCGAGGAACGTAGAAAAGGCTGAGAGGTTCAACAATGAAAAGCTTGCTGGTTCAGCATTCAGCTCCTC